ACAAATTTCTCTTTTCCTGTATTTATTAATCAAATATTAATCAAAATATCTGGTCCAGTATCACCACTCTAAATTGGTAAAATTCTAGGCTGAAAAATGTGTTTTATGTCTTTGATTGGACATCCTTCTCCAGGAAAATATCTTACTTCTTTTAGCTTAAAAAAGTCCTTTTTATTGATGTGGAATATTAGCTTTTGAAAGGCTACAAGTCCATTAAGACTCCATTTGATAACTTTGGTATGCTCAAAACCCACCCTGCCACTTAACCAAATTGGCCCCACTGAGGATAGCCAGGCTGAGGCTGAGTCATTAGCACCTGAGAAACAGCAAGAACAGTAACTTTGTGGGTGCTGGAGTCAAGACGCAGTGACCTGACCCTGGCCCTGCTGCTTGGTCACTGCATGATCTTGAGCAAAGTAGTTGCTCAAGGCCTTGGCTGCCTTATCTCTGAAACGAGTTTAATAACAGAGCCTGCTGCAGGGGTTAATTCAATGAGACAATGGCTGTGTACAAGCACAGCCCACGGCACACAGTAAGGGCCCCCTCAGTGGAAGCCACCGTCATCACCATGGCATCCTGGAGATAGCATCACAGGCAGCAGCTCTTATGTTGCCAAGAGGTCTGGGGCTTATTGGGAGATGCAAGCTGGGAGGCATTTTTAGATGGTCCCTGGAGTGCAACTATGTACCCAGGGATGACACTGCAGGTAAGTCCCTTCAAATTACCCAGAAAAAGAACGGTCCATTTTAGCAAATTAAAATAAAAACACAAACTTGACTTACAGTTGTAACACAGTAGCAGGCCAGCTTCTCCATCTTCATACACATCAATAGCTGCAACAAAATTAACCTGCAATGATAACGGGCGACGGTAGTGCGCGGGCTGCTGCTGACACCGTGAAAGACTTTCTCAAGCTGCAGTATTTGCAGCGACCCTCGGCGCTCTGGGGTCACATCCACCTTACCAGCACCCACGGGCTGTAGCGGGGCCGTGATTACAACTTACACCACAGGTGTGAAGGAAAGAAAAGTCTCTCTTTTTTCTCCATGGGGACTTTCTCCCCATCTTCTCATCCCCTTTGAAGAGCTCCCTCTCTGGCACCTCCACTCTACTAAAATGCCTCAGTTTTACTTGGTGTGCAGTTCCCAGAGCATGTTCACATGGGCTGTTCATTTCACTCTCTCATTAACCCCTGAATGTAGAAGGCATTACTCCCATTTTACAGACGATGAAAGTGAGACTCCGAGAAGGTCCCTGGCGGGTAAGCACCACAGCCAAGCTATACCCAGGTTCTTGTTCAACCTTAGCCCCTGCTGCCTCCATCTAGTCCCTCCTGGCACTGACAGATAAAGTGCCTGAACCTTCAAATCACCATGGCAGTCCCCACAGCAGGGCGTGCTGAGGAAGGGGTCAGAAGGCCTAGCAAACTCGCCACTTGAGTCCTCAGTTTTTGTGTTTAAAAAGAGGACACTCAACCCAACTTTGGTCCCTCCTGATTATCAAAACCCTGACCCTCGAAGAGCATCCTGCTCCTTGCACTTCCTCACTCGTATCCCAGCTCTGAGTCTCCCAAGCTTTCAGGAAGCCATCCTCACTCTGCTGGAGGGCTCAGTCAGCAGCTCTTTGCCAGTCCCACAGCCTCTGCCAGGCGATGGCTCTGGCCTCCTGCCCTCCTTCCCTCTCAGATTATTCTTCCATTTCTTGGCTCTTCCCTCACTAGGAAAATACTTTTACAGCTCCAAATTTTGCTTTGTGCTCAAAACCTCCAAGCCTAGGCCCATACTCTCCTTGGAGCTCCAGTCTGTCTAGTCCAGGGGTCCTTAAACTTTTTAAACAGGGGGCCAGTTCACTGTCCCTCAGACTGTTGGAGGGCTGGACTGCAGGCCCCGGGACGAGTCGGCTGCTAAGCAGGACAGGCAGCAATGGCAAAAACACCTGGCAGGCAAGATAAATGTCCTAGGCAGGCTGCATGTGGCCTGTGGGCCATAGTTTGGGGACGCCTGGCTAGTGTCTTGATCTCTAAGGTGCCATCGTTCCACATCCTGCCAATAACAGCAGGAGGCAGTGGGGGCACGGGGGCACAGCCAGGCACAGACCCTAGGGCAAGCCCTGCCCAAGCTCACTGCCTTCGTGGTATGTGGCAAATGGCTCAGCCTCTGGCCCTCAGTCTTTGTCTGTAAAGCTGGCACAATGGCAGCACTGCCCCAGCTGGATGGTAACAGGCACTTAGGGAGACAAGGCGGAGATTTCAGGCACTCAGGGAAGGCTGTTTTCCCTTCTAAATCTGCTCCTTTTAGTTAGCAGAACGGTCCGCAGAGTCTCAGGGACCCTGTCCTCTGTCCCAAGTCCAGCATCCTCCTCTTCTCAGGGTCTCTTGGTTGCCCTTTCTGCACCCCCAGGGGCACGACATCAGAGCCTCCTGCTGGCTTGTCCCTCCCAGCCCTACCCGAAGGCCACCCCCAGCGCCCTCCTCTTCCTGTCATCCTCAGGGTGCAGCCTTTGCCTCTAAATGCTGTCCTCATCATGCTGAGTCTCCAACGGCCACCCTCAGCCAGGGCTGTTGCAGGGGCTCTGCTGAAGGGACCTCCACCCCCCACAATCACTACCTGGCCCTATACTAGGTGCTGTTAGGCTACAGAAAAGGCTAAGGTAAGGTTCTACTGCCCAAAAAAAAAAAAAAAAAAAATCAGAAAAGCATGCAGGTACTTGAAACAAGGTTTAATGCCACAATCAGAGTTATGGGAGCTCCGGAGGGAGGGGGCAGTGAGGACCCGTGGCCAGAGCTCTGGCTGTGGGATCAGAAAGACTTGCCCTGTATTATGACTGTATGGGGGGTCTCTGGATAGTGTGTGGTGCACACTTACTTGTCTCTTCCCTGTAGCTCCCTCCCCCTAGACCACAGGCTGTGACACAGAGGCTGCGTGTGCTGCTCACTGCTGTCCCCTCCATGTCAAGGCCTGCAGCAGAATATACACACTGGACGAATGACTGAATTAATGAAATCCCAGCTCCACCACTTCAGAGCCTGCACACTTAAGCCAGTTGTTTCCCCTCTCAGAACCTCAGTTTCTTCGTTTATAAAACAGGAGATGAGAGTAACTTACATGGCCTGGAACCTGCCAGATGCTCAACAAGTGTTAACTGGCATTCAGCACTTAGCTGTGGAGTGAGCATCAAGGGGCATGTTCCATGCGGGACAGTGCGAAGTCCTCTCTGACCCCTGACGGCTCCTCCCAGCCTCACCCCTTGACTCGGAATCACCTTCTCTTCAGTGCCCCTGTATCAGTTTTGTTTCACTGTCTCAGCCAGAGGCTTTGTGCTGTCGCAGGGATGCGGTTGTCTGCTCTGTGGCCCAGCCTGCCATCCCCACTGGCTGTGAAGAGACAGTGTGCTGAGTTTAAGGACAGCCATTCTAGGCCTAAATCCTGCCTCCACCACTTACTAGCTGTGTGGTTTAGGGTAAAATAAGTGACTCTTCCTTTCTGAGCCTCAGTTTCCTTGTCTGTAAAATTGGATAAATGAAGAACACCTCCCTCACAGATTACTGAGAAGAGTCTGTGACATGCTCAGACACAGGGCCTGGCGGCTGTGCTTACTGTTATATAATCATGGGAGGGTTAACTCAGTGGGAAAGGCAGAACTGACAGCCTTTCAGTTCAGGGTGTTCAGGGTCGGGTAGGCAAGGGATGCGGTGGGGATAAGCAGGAAGGAAGCTTGGGCAGCCTTCTAGACCAGGTCTGTGCACAGTGACACCCACGCAGCATCTGGGATTAAGCCAGTCTACTGGGGATTCCAGGACTGTGCTGACAGGCACACAAGTGTGGCAGTATTCACAGTCAGGCTGTGGGACAGCCCTGAGGCCAAGATTCAGGGACAGAAGACCAGACTGGGACTTAAGCACTTGCCCCTGGAGGACTCCACAGAACTGTGTTCAGACCTGTGAACACTCAGCGTGGGGAGACCTGCATCCTGCTTTGATGAAGGGGCCTGTCTCTTGTTACACTCTGCAGCTCTGTTTCCTGCCCAGGTAATGACATCAGAATCAACTAGGGAGCTTTAAAAAATATTCTGGGTTCTCACTCTTAGAGCTCCTGACACAGAAGTTTTGGGGTAGGACTCAGGTGTTGGATTTGTATTTTTTGATTAAAAGCAAGCAGGTCATTTTATTGGCATGAAAATAATAACAGCATGTCTGGGAAAGTTGGAAACATGAACTTGTCACAAGTGAGGTGGGTGCCACGCTGGCCCCGTCCCCGGCTGACAGAGGAGGCTGCTGCTGGTTCCACACTCAGCCTTCCCTTGTGACTCCAGGCTGAGTCTCAGCTGAGAACCGCCAGGACCTTGGCCCCCCCAATGAGCCTGAGGCCCAGATCTTGAGACTAATGAGTCTGCAGCTCCTAAGAGAGGAGCCCTTGTTTTGGGAAAGAGGCCAATGTTGACGGCTAGAGCTGGGGCAGTGGGTCACAGCAGGCCTGCCTGCGTGGGGCGTGTAACATTGACTTTTGGTGCTTTAGTGTATCTTAAACATTTTGTCTCTTGGGCTAGAATTGTCTTAGAACTGGGGTGGGGTGGAGGCCTGAACTGGGAATTAGACGTTTCTGTGGGGGAGAGGAGAGTGGATGCAGGACACTAGGCCAGGCCATCAGCTCTGGTGCCGGCACAGAGAAGGTGGCAGCGAGTGCAACATGAACAGAAGTTACCTGGAGGCTGAGTCCACCTCCTGCTTCCTGGGCACTGGGTCCCCAGCCGCAGGAGCAGCTTGGTAAAAGGCTCCTCCTGTTCCCTCAGGGCCTGTTTCTGGTTAGCTATTAGAAAACATTTTGCTCATTACCTTTCTCATTTCCCTAGGGCTTATGTCCCCAGTTAGACAGTAAATTCCTTGTGAAGATGCTCGTGTCTTGATAAGCATGCACACCTGCTCAGCAGACACCCCCACCCCACCCCCCGCCCCCCGCCCCAGCTGATTTACTGGGGGAGCTGCACACTGTTCCTCCCAGAGCCAGGTCCATCCAGGAAAGGGCCTTGCCTGCTGGATCTACATAAGGATCACCTGGGGGGGTAGACTTAACCACTTCCCCCAAATTCTGGTTTAACTGATTTGGGTGGGGAAGGAACATTGCTTTTTTTTTTTTTTTGAGACAGAGTCTCACTTTGTTGTCCTTGGTAGAATACTGTGGCATCACAGCTCACAGCAACCTCCAGCTCTTGGACTTAGGCGATTCTCTTGCCTCAGCCTCCTGAGTAGCTGGGACTATAGGCACCTGCCAGATGCCCAGCTATTTTTTTTTGCAGTTTTGGCCAGGACCAGGTTTGAACCTGCCACCCTCGGTATATGTGGCTGGTGCCCTACTCACTGAGCCACAGGCACCACACAACACTGTTCTTTTCTTAAAGCTCTCCAGGCAATTCTAGCCAGGGCTGAGTAGCAATGCAGGACACAGGGGGTGAACACTGGAATCACCTGGGGTAATTTAAACATTTCCCATCCTGCTGCATCCCAGATTGGTGAAATCTCTTGCGGGGTGGGGGAGGGAGGGCACGGCTTTGAAATGCCCCAGATGACTCCAGTTTCAGGTAAGTCTGGGCACCACTAATATAGGTAAGAGAAACAACATGACAAACGACTCTGAATCAATTGCCGAAGAAGGCTCCTAATTACATCTAGAGTTTTCTATTTCTGATTTTTCTGTTTCTTAAAATCTTGCTGTAATTAGGTATTAAGTCTTCCTAAAATAGTAGGTAGCAATTTTAATGGATATTTATGTAGAGCCTGTACTAATACAAATTGTAAAGCATAATTGGAAAGAATTTTGCAGTCTCTTTGATTTAGCCGAACAGGACTGGGGGAAGCCTGTGGGTTTGGAATCCCTCAATAGGCAGTACATTCTCCCTGGGGGAGATGTCCGCATTCTGCGGTGTCCTCAATATCAAAGCCAGAAGGCTAGCTGGCACTGGCTATGCAAACTTTGAGCAGCTCACTGAGACCAGGCCCTGCCCTACTGCACAGAGATAAAGGGACTGAAGAGCTCTGTGACCTACTGAGGTCAGTGTCAGTGTTGAACGGGCTCCAGTGACAGGTCACTAGGCCGTGGGGTAGTGTGTACTCACCACCGTCCAGTGGATGCTAAAGCTAAGACTCCACACAGTCATCTTTAGGGCTTTCATGAATTTTCAGGTAGCCCTAGATTTTGTCCTCAACCAAGACATCCCTGTTCTCTGTAAAGCTCAGGCCAGGGGTGCAGACCTTCAGTGCTGACTGCTTGGTCTCTCTCCACTGGGGTTCCTTTGTAGCAGGCCTCCAAAGGGATAGTCAGGGAGAGGTGCTGGCCCGCCTAGCCACCTAGTCCTCACACTGAGAGTCTACCGGGCCCCGGAGAGCAAACTTGCTCCAAAGGCCCTCCCAGGACTAACCACCTGACAAAGGCTCCTATCTGCTTGGCTGTTGATAGTCAGCTTTTTGATGCTTCCTGTCTTATTTATTTGGAAGGACAGTGGCAGGGTGAAGTCTGAAAGGTGAATAGGGCAATGGGATGGTCACATGATATTAGAACCATTGTGACCTACAAAAGTGGCAACTTCACATGGTTTAGCCTAAATAGTGAGCTACATAATAATGATGTGATGAATAGTACGTTATTTAATTAATTAATTAATTTAGAGACAGAGTCTCACTTTGTCACCCTTGGTAGAGTGCCATAGCATCACAGCTCACAGCAACCTCCAGCTCTTGGGCTTAGGTGATTCTCTTGCCTCAGCCTCCTAAGTAGCTGGGACTACATGCGCCTGCCACAACGCCCGGCTATTTTTTTGTTGCAATTTGGCCAGGGCCGGGTTTGAACCCGCCACTGTCAGGATATGCGGCTGGTGCCCTACTCATTGAACCACAGGTGTCACCCTTATTTATTTATTTTTGAGACAGAGTCTTACTCTGTTACCCTAGTGGAATGCCATGGTGTCACAGCTCATAGAAACCTCAAACTACTGGGCTCAAGTGATCTTCTTGTCTTGGCCTCCCAAGTAGCTGGGACTACAGGAGCCCACCACAATATACAACTAGTTTTTTCTATTTTTAGTAGAGATAGGGTCTCACTTTGCTCAGCCTGGTCTCAAACTCCTGAGCTCAGGTGATCCATTCGCCTCAGCCTCCAAGATTGCTAGGATTAAAGGCATGAGCCAGTATGCCTGGCCTAATAGTATGTTATTTTAAAATTTAATTTAATTTAATTTTTTTGAGACAGAGTCATACTCTGTTGCCCTGGGTAGAGTGCAGTGCCATCATCATAGCTCATAGCAACCTAAAACTCTTGGGCTCAAGAGATCCTCCTACCTCAAGCTCCTGAGGATCTGGGACTACAGGCTCCTACCACCATACCTGGCCAGTTTTTCTATTTTTAGTATGTAATTTTAAAGAAATACAAATCATAGCATTCCAAAGTTAGAAGACACAATGATTTACTTTGTCTGATTCCCACTTGTCCCTATCACTGTCAGCTTACCCTGTTGGCCTCCACGTGGTGCAGCCTGAAGGCCTCTCCTGTGCTCTCATTTACCACATCGAATTGGTGTCGGTAAGCCACGCAGATGAGATTGTCACTCTCTTCAGTGGGCCCGTCCACTAAGGTCATCACCACGGGAGAGTCAGACAGGCAGATTTCCTGGGAAGTTGACGATGAAAGGGGAGACTGGTTAGTGCAGAGCAGCCAGTGCCATGTCAACCCCACTCCCCTCCCACCAGGATCCTGCAGAGCCCCAGCTACAGGGAAGGAAAGGGCAGGAAAGGAGGTGTTAGGTCACATCTGACTTCTCTCTCCCACAACCTGTCCTCAAGACTCAGCCCTCTATTCACCGGAAAGCGCAGAGGCCAGGAAGCAATTTTACAAAACTGATTCATCACTATCAGTTCTCTCTGTCGGGTCCTGTCCTGGGATTTAGTAATAGCATGAACAATTGGTAACTAACCTTGCTGAGCACTGTTCAGTTAAATCCCCGTGACACAGGTACTGCTACTGTTCTACATGAGGAAACTCACGGGTCGAGTGACTTGCCCACAGACACAAAGTTTGTACACAAGAGCCAGCATGTGAACTCAGGAAATCTTATTTCAAAGCTCACACTGCATAAATGTGTATGTTGCATGTAAATATATTCATTAAAATTGCTAATTACTATAATATATGAAGGAGGCTAACAACTAATTAGAATAAGATTTTAAGTTGTATTAATTTAACCAGCATGCTTCTCTGTCTTCAGTTGAATATTAGCAGAACTGATATGCATAATCCAGGATCCTTTAACTGCAGGCAAAAATAAATAATTCCTCAGCTCACCCACAGAAATACTCCATTTTAGCAGCTGATTTTTGACTATCCCACACCTTAAGGGACCACCATATGTGGCGGAGAGCTCGCTCCCAGGAAGCCTCTCTCACAAGGCCCCCTACCAGCAGCCGCTGCACACCCAGGCAAGCAGGGCAGCACTGCCCACTGCTTCCCCCGCCTCTCCAGCCATCACTTCTTGGCAGGATCCTGTGCTGGCTTCGTAGGGGCCTCTTTATCTCTACCCTTGGACCCCTCTGCCCAGTAGCCAGAACAGTCTTTTCAAACATGCTATGTCCCTGCATCAAACCTTCCAGTGGGTCCCCATCTCACTCCGCGTCCTTGCAATGGCCTCAGGGGTCAAGAGAATCTGGTCCCAGTTCTCTCCAACCTGCAGATGGTGCCTTTGGTGGGGGTCTCAGAGCCCTTGCCAGGCTGCTCCAGGGGAGAATATCCTTTCCCCAGATGCCCTTGTCACTCACACCCACTATTTCTCTGCTCCAAGGTTACCTTACAGAGAGTGCTTCCCAGATGTTCCTTCTAGAACAGATCTCCTAACTCCTTGTTCCATTATCCTCTGTTCCCTGGCCCTACCTATTTTTATTCTCAGTACTTCCTTCTGCCAGGCCATCATAGACTTATTTGCTTATTTGTATTATCCTTCAACTAGAAAGCAGTCTCTATGGGAAGAATCTGTCTCATTCATTGCTGTGTCCTTCATACCTAGAACTGCAGGTGGAATGTGTTCACTGGAATGAGTGAGCTTTTGCCTTAGTCTTCTGGGGGAAGCTAGGGCCCCAGAGGGACACCTTCCCTCACTGGTTACTGAATGATGAGATGACAGTGGGTGATACTGTGGGAGGAAGGAGAGACTGCCTTGTGACATGTTGGCTGGGAGGGAAGTTACTTGAAGAGAAACTTACCCTGATGTACTGGAACTCTTCAACAGGGGGCTCTGACAGGGGCGATAACAACGGCATGCTGGCTCCTCCGCTTGGCTTGTTATGTTTCCTTGTGATCAGAAGCAGTTTATTCCGAATCGCGACCACAATCCTCAGCTCTCTGCTGTGGTGGGTGTTAATGGCATACAGGTGGCAGCCTGGGAAGACAAGCAGTGATGCTCCACACACGACGTGGGCTGGGAAGCCCCCCAGCCTCCATGCTTTGGTGAGTTTCCAGGGGGAAATTAGGTCTATCTCAGTGAATGGACTAAGAATGCTTCTGATACCAAGGAAAATAGAGACTTTAATAAAAATTAGGTTGAGTCACAGGAAAATTAAGAACGTTATCTTCCCTGTATTCTAGAGGTTGCAGACTTAGCTTTATACCTGTTACATGATGTGAATTCAAGTGAGGAGTGATCAGAGCTCCAGGAACCATAGTCTAAACATTTCTTTACTCACAGATTTTCTAATGGAGCTTAACTCACCTCCAAAACCTATTATTAAAGGCCTAGAATTTCATCTCCTCAACATGTTTTTCTAGCTTTTAAGCTTTTACAGAAACTGTGATGCTATTTTTGTTATTTTCCAAGCCAAAGAAATAAAAATGAATCAAATTCCTACCATTTTTATTTTCAGTAAAACCTGGGCAGTCTGAGACAAAAATTAATCGAATGGAATCTACCAGAATAAGGAAGACTCAAGTCACCTTTTGTCTTCTCCAGCTTGTTTTCTCGGCAGTCAGATCTGCTCTTCCCGGCCTGTCTCCCCTCAAGGCCCTTTTGCAGAGTACTCAGCCTGAAGACAAAGAGGCGGGCATCTTTTCCTGGTGACAAACAAGGTGGAGGAGGGGATTAAAGGAAAAGCAAAACTGGGGAGCTCCCAGGGCAGACTGCAGGAAATTGACCCACACCGTGTTACCTAACAAGGTGACTACAGATGCACCTGCTCCCCTCCCCAGAGAACAAAGGGCCCACCAAGGGACCCAGAGCACTGGCCATCAGGAAAAGAAACAGCTAGCTGGGCCTATGAAGTCAGACTGAGTGACCTGTGGTGGGCGTGGCCGTGGGTCACAGAATGTGCCTGCTCTCCTCCCTCCAGAGCATGCCCGCCCCCCACAGGGTACCACCTTTGTCTGCTCTGAGAACGAGAAGGTCCAGCGTCTCGAGCACATGCATCTGCTTCACTGGCAGGGTTCTGTCAAACACGGGCACTGCTGGGAGGTCATCTGGAAAAGGAAACCTGGTTACTTATCACTGTTATAGCCCATACTTTCTAGAACCCATGAAATGTGCCTGTGGGTAGTTTGTGACCCCAGTTCTCCCAAGGTCTACACAGTAAGTCCAGGTACCACTCCCATCCTAGCTCAGGAGAAGTGCTGCTGTTCTTCCCCCATGGCATTCTGAACTCTACAGGGGCAGAGGAGCACGGGGGAAGGGGCCGAAAACTCTGCTCCTCAGTGTTCGTTAAAGAAAAAGCAACGTCAGTCAATACCAGTTCCTACTGGGGTTGCACCAAAGGACTGAGCACCAGGTTTAAAAAAACCAAAAATGGGGGTGCTGGGCGCATGTGGCTCACACCTGTAATCCTAGCACTCTGGGAGGCTGAGGCAAGTAGATTGCCTGAGCTCAGGAGATCAAGACCAGCCTGAGCAATAGCGAGACCTCGTCTCTACTAAAAATAAAAAAAACTAGCCTGTAGTCCCAGGTACTGGGGAGCCTGAGGCAAGAGGATCTCTTGAGCCCAAGAGACTGAGGTCCTTGTGAGCTAAGAGGATGCCACAGCACTCTGAGACTCTGTCTCAAAAAAAAAAAGAGAGAAATAAAGAATAAAAGCAGCCACTTCCCTCAAGTCTTTTATTTTTATGTAATATTTGAAATTGCCTTGTATATTTGTATGTATACATATTGTGTATTTCTCAAGAAAGCCAAATTAAAATTTTCTTTTGTATTTAAAATACAGACGTACCCCATCCTAACATGCCTTGTGTCTGTATCATTAGCATTCTGACCAAAAATTTTCAATATTTCTTCATACAGGCATATTAAATTTCCTTTTTTAGACAAAAAAATAAGAGAAGTATCAATTAGATTGCCTAAATAGCAGGCAAAAACTAATTTAAGTGGAAACGCTCATGAAGATTTTAGGTAAATGGATGACCAAAGA